CAGAGTAGAACCGCCCCATAGGGTTTCCAAGAGGTTGGCTGGTGGATTCCAACTGCTGACCTTTTGGTTAGCAATCAAGCTCCTAACCACTGTGCCACCAGGGCTCCAAAGAGTAAGAACAGTACAAAGAAAATATTTTGTAGCTGGCCCAGCACCTGACAACAACAACAACATGATACTAAGCTAATGTTAACCGTTGTCATTACTGATAAAATCTTTTGTTTTAAGATGCAAGGGGTATGGGTTTTTAAGCCATCAGGAGATCTGAGCTAAAGCTGCAGCTTCTCTACATATGAGCAGTGTGACATACACAAGTCAACTAACTTCTGTGGGACTCGTTTACTTTTCCTGTAAAATAGGGATAACACCACTTCTCCGGTATACTTCAAAGTACTGATCTGAGTATCCATTTAGGTGAGGTATGTAAAAATTGTTTCTAAGTTGTAAATAGATCTGTTATCAAGCCTGGATTCTTCATTAATTCATTCAGTCAGCAAACTTTTACAAAGTGGGAATATTTAATACATTGAATTAAAACTGGTTTTTATATACTTCTACCACCACAAAGGGAGCATCTTCCATAATGAGATCAGATTCTTTTCACATTTTTATTTGTAGTGCTTAACACAGTTGGTGCTCAAAAATTGTTTGTAGAAGAAAAAGGGAAGGTGAAGGAGGTTAAGATGGTGGTTCTGGCAATTGGAAAGTTGATAGAGATGATGAACAGAGAAGGAGTGATCAAAGCTACAATCGGGTTTGTATCATATGATTTAGAAGAATCCATTCCCAAATATATTTTTTGCTTGAATTTGACATGGTTAACATATGCATTAGATATTTTTGCTTTTATTATACTGAGAGATAAAACCAAACCCATTGCTATCAATTCGATTTCAACTTGTAGCAACCTTATAGAACAAAGTAGAACTGCCCCATAGGGTTTCTAAGGAGCAGTTGGTAGATTCGAACTGCCGACCTTTTGGTTAGAGCTGAGCTCTTAACCACTATGCCACCAGGGCTCCAAGAGATAAATTAGGAAGTTTTAATTATTTTACTGAACTAAAAAAAAATCTAATTGGGTTGAGTTCCACAGCATAAATTTTAGTATGCATTATGGTTACTTCATTTTTGCAGCATTGTTTTCTGCCCATCCAAACTGTTTTCCCCAGCTGACTTATTTTTAGGTTATCATTGCATTGAGCAATTAGCAAACTTCCTCTGTTCCACACATTTGAATTTCCCATTAGATAACAAAGCCTAGCATAATAAACAATTATTGCAATTTCTGACAAATGGGACCCCAAGGCATTAATATTGTTGTTCACTAACTTGGACTCAGTATCTGTTTTACATACCATAGGAATCTGGGAGCCCTGGTGGCATAGTAGTTAAGAGCTCAGCTGCTAACCACAAGGTCAGCAGTTTGAATCCACCAGGCACTCCTTGGAAACTCTGTGGGGCAGATCTGCTCTGTCCTATAGGGTTGCTGTAAGTCGGAATCGACTCCACGACAATGAGTTTTATAGCAATCTGTTTGACACGGTAGATTCCTTAGCTGGTTTAGCAATCTGCTCTACCATCAGAACAGGAGATCAGGAGTTACAAAGATCCACTCTCATTCAATTGTCCAAATACTATACAGTTTATTTGATTTTATTAACAGCTCTTTTGAACTACATATTTAAGTGCTTGAAGATGTGTATTCCATGACAGAATAAAAACAGATGTTAGAATTCAATACTTTGTTTTCTAGACTCTGAGCATTACTTATATAACTATTTTGAATCTTTCTAAAAATTTTGCATTAAATCACAATGAAATTTTGATGCAAATTAAAGAGAAAAGTTACATTCATGGTTAACTTTTTGTCTTTAAAAATGACTATACAAGTCAAAGTGACAATTATCAAGAACTAAAGTAGTCAACTTATTTTGAATCAGGGGCATATATTTATATGAGCCATAAAACCCAAAAAATCCATTGCTGTCAATCTGATTCTGATTCATAGCGACCCTATAAGACAGAGTAGAACTGTTCCATAGTGTTTCCAAGGAGCAGCTGGTGGATTTGAACTGCTGACTTTTTGGTTAGCAACCTGAGCTCTTAACCACTTTGCCACCAGTGCTTTTATACACTCCATGATTTTTATAATTTAAGATTTGTCACAAACCAATATGTATATTGTCAAATAAAACATCAAAGCCCAAAGCCCATACTTCTCTATGCAAATAATTTAAGCATTCAAATATAAAAGGAAAATCAACATTAGTTTCTTTTCATAGGAAAAATAGTCATGAAATTAGTTCAATTTTCTTTAGATCATTGAAATACAGAAGCCCTCTTATAAATGTCATTAGGAAATCACTTTTAGACTGAAATCACGGCAAAAGGGCAAGCTAAAAAAAAACCTCACTATTTTAACCTTTCACAGTAAAATTATAAGTATTGTTTATTCTTGATTAATTCAATAACTCAGTTATTTTTCCTAAGTATTAGTTTAAATTCTATGTAGTGATTTATCATTTAAAGAATGTCTGGTTTGTTCTCTCTTAAATGCCCTGGAGCCTAAAGTTAAGTAAGCTTCCTGTTCTTAGGATGATTTACTTCCCTTAAGCCAGTCACTCTTTGGCCAAGTCCTCCTGTTGCTCCTGGGCTGAATATAAACCACCCAACTGCTCCTTTCTCGGCTTCATGTAATATATGTAGTTTATATGTCACTTACACCTGTGAAATATTTTCCCTTAGCTGCTAATGATAAACTGAACAGTCAAAGGAAAACGGAAAAAAATGAGTCAAGTATTAATGTAATTAAGACAGGAAAACACACTAGTAAGAAATAAGAATTTTTCTTTTTGTGCTTGTGTTTATGTCTTCTTTTGAGCATCATGAGCTCAATGGATGCTCTTTGAAGAGCAAACACATCTTGAATTACTTATTTGAAACTCATTAAAAAGAGCTCATAGTAATCATAAAATGGAAAAAATAGTCCATCTAACATAAACACATTCCATTTTTAGCTCTATTCTAAAAAAGGAGGCCAATATTGGTTATGATAAAAAACATTATAGTGAAATGCTTTGGCAAATAATACTTGTTCTGATAAAGGCAATATTTGATTCAACAAATTATAGTATAATAAATTATTGGAGTTATTTTTGAAATTATTTTCCTGTGACCACTATACCTATATTTAGAATTAAACATACAAAATTTGATTTATTCCTTGCTTTATAAGACAAAATGCTTTCTGTTCCTCCATAGCATGTGGGGTTTTAACTTCAGAATATGAGTTATGAAGCTAAAAGAGTTTCCAGGGTTATTTTAATATCCCAGCCATTAATATGTATTTTATCTAAAGTGTTTCAAATAAATTATCTTTTGTCACCTCTGTGCACCCAATTTGTCATTTTCTAACACTCATGTGGTGACAGCTGAGTAGTAAAACAAAATATCTCAAACTTCATATTAATTTATTCACTTGGAAATAAAATGATCACATAGTTGTATAAATATAAGGAAGATCATATGGTGTTGTTTGTTTCTGTGCAATTTATGCCCATGCTTTACCAAAGAGTTTACATGACTAATATTAGATGTTTTGAGGTATATATCTTCGAATCAAGATTATTTGTTAGGATGTGTTATTTGTTAGGATCAAGATTATTTGCTAGGATCTGCAAATCAGTAAATGGACCCTATGCTGTAAGCACTCTATAGAAGGTACTGGAAGGGATATGGTACTCAGGAAGAACTGACATTTGATCTCCTTTGAAATGTAAACAGATGTAGGAATGGTATTTCAATCTAAGACAAGTCACAGGCGTTGGGAAAATGTCCTCTGTAAAAACATGGACTTCATCTGCACAGTTGGTCTCCTAGTGCCATGAGTGCAGGAACAAATTATGCTTTATTCATTTTTACAACTCCAGCTAGGTGCTAAAGGTTCAAATCCAGTTACGATACAGCATGTACCCTTAAGGAGTTTCAAGGACAGAGAATAACTTGGAGGAAGACAAGAGCCTATTGGACTTGATAGCTACAAGCAATTTTGTGATTTTTGAGAGACTGATTTCAGCAATATGAAGATGGCAGAGCATAGATTATGGGGCATTAAAAGTGACTGTGATTATAGTCATATATCAGCTCTATGCAGTTCTGTGACAGGAAAGGGTATGATGGCTTGGGGACTAAGAGGAAAGATGTATTACAGGAAGACTTTTTAGAGTAGGAGAGACTGAAGAGAGTACAATCTTTCCAGCAGAGAGACTGAACCTGAAAGATGATTCATGAGGACAGGCATAGGCAATATTGGAGCCATTGATGTGGCCAGGTTCCAGAAGAGATTTAGATACTGGAATTAGGAGCATAAGGGACAATATTAGATTTCTATTTTCTTTTTCAGATATTTTCAGAAACATTATCCAGTGTTAATGCAAATACAATGTTTCTTAATGTTTATTTGTAAAGTGAAGTATAAAATTAATATAACATTAAGTTATCAGAAGGCCATAGGGTTCAAAAGTAAGAGCTGTAAAATATTTTCACTACAAAGTATAGTTTTTTTGTTTGTTTAGTTTCTCACGGCCTGTTTGATCAGGTATTTATTCAAAATAAACTGTCCAAAATGATTTTTTATGGAAAAAACAAACTTAAGAGTTTTATGCAGCAGGCTTCTTCACAACAGAGAATACTTAATATTTCATCATATTAAAGGACATAAAACAACTGGAAGAGATTGCAAATTTGCCTTGCCACCCTTTGCTGCGGGGAAGTGGCACATTTCCTGTGACACGTGATCAATTTTCATCTTGGCAGTCAAACAGATTATTACAGCTACTGCGAGCTATTATGATTATAACTGAGTGAACCATGTGTGCAGTTTGTCTTTCCGAGTTAAAGAAAAAAACAAACCTGATTTCTGTATTAAATTAGAACTCTAAAGTCAGAAAAAAAAAAAAAACGCATAGCCTGTATTTTTGTTGTTATTTTGTCTGTTTCAGCACCTAATGTGGCTCCTTCGGATGTAGGAGGGGGAGGTGGAAGCAATAGAGAGCTGACCATCACATGGGCGGTAAGTATCAGCAGATTATATATATCACAGTCTGCTTTACCTATACTTAATCCCTAACACGTTGTTTCCTGGAATACATTGAAATAAAGTAGAATGTTCAATCAATGCACAAGCAAGAATAAATGTTTTCTTCATAAATGCATGTCATTTTCTTTACCAAGCTTATTATAGCTTAGTGAGCAATTCCTATGCAAAAATGGATCCCTGAGGCTAAGAGGCATGTTGGCCTAGAAGCTTACGTATTCAACTACCTGATTCCAGAGATATTTTGAACTCATTGTGTCCTGGTAATGCAACTATAATTTGTAATATTTTCTCTGGACATTGTAAACTCCAAAGATTCAATTTACACATTTTTGTACTGAGACCCATTTTTAAATGGGAGTCTGCTTCCTCACTCACAACTGACTTTGATCTCTTCTTCTGTGAATGTAATCCACTGGGAGAGGTCAGTCGTAGAAGTCACCTATGGGGCTAGTTATTGAAGTGTCCAATATGTTTTATTAAATGTTTCATGCAATAAAGGGGAGTTCTATATCAGAGATTGTAATGTCTTGAAAATAATGCCTGGACAAAGAGTGAGGGAGGTTGTGCTAGCACAAACTTATCTGAAATAGATGCCTGGCATTTATCCAGGTAATATGTTTTAGATAAATCCATTTATTCATTAAACATTTTTAGTATTTAATCACTGCAGATAGTCCAAGAGCACAACTTAGGCTCCAAAGGATTTTGAGGGACTGTAGGCAGAATGGCAGGCTTTATGCTTTACATGAATCAAACTGATTCATACAATAGGTGGATATTTAGCAAATTTGATGTCACTCTGTTCTGTGTAGTCATATTTTGTAATTGGTACTTAAATAAAATTTTAAACCAAGATTTAGAAAAAAATATATCTCCTGCTTGTCTGAATCTCACATTTTTTATTTGTGAATTTTAGTGTCATAGAGAAATGCCAACATTAGGCAAATAAGAACATCTTACTCTTTTCTGTATGTTTATTGTAGAAATGTTAGGCTATACTATCGGATAATCTAAAGCCACACTTTGTACATCCTTATGATCATGCTTCAGGATATCCATAATGTGCAAGCAAGTTCAGCTTCTTCTACCCTTTGACCATTATATATTCCTAGATTTTCCTGTTTACAATAAATATATTCAAACAACTGTGTTAACTTTAGATCGAGGTTTTGGCCTCAAGACACCTTAGTTTTGATTTTCAGGTGAAAAAGTGAATACACAATTTACACATTTATATTAATGGCTAAAAGACTAAATAAATGACAAGTGCTCACTAGAACTAGCTTTCGATTGGTATTTGTAAATAATGGATGGTCAGGGTCCACAGGGATTTCTTCATTGGACAATTGACATGCATAGTAATAAGAAACTCTGAGAAGATGATGCAAAACAGAGCACTTATTTTAATATTGAAGTCAGACAAGAGCCCAAACCCAATCTTCTTCAAAGGAGTGCAGTGTTACTCACAGTGCCCTTCTTCCTTCTTGTCACTTTCTCTCCTTTTTTCCTCTGCCTAGTTTCTATTGTTTGATTACTATAAAGAAATTCCAGAGTTTTGTATCACTCTCTTACCATTGCTTCTCAACTCTAGAGAAATTCATTAACTCATTCATTCAATAAATATTATTTGAGGTGCTAGGGATAAAGAAACAAAACTAACAAAAATCTCCAACTTCATGAAATTTATGTTCTAGTAGTTGGAAGAGACAATAAAGTAGACAATAAAAATCACAACAGTGTTAAGAGAAAAATAAAACATAGAGGTGGGATACGGAGTGCTGGGAAAGAAGTTTTGAAATGGTAGATTCTGCCGGGAAACATTGTTAAAAGAGGTGGCTTTATCAGAAGAAAGTGAGAGAGAGTCTTACGATGTCTGGGAGAACAACCTCCTAGCCAGAAAGGACTAAAAGTAAAAAGGCCCAGAGTGGAGAATCCCCCTGGGATATTCAAGGAATAGCAAGGAAGCTAGTTGGTAAATGAAGTTATCCATGTTTGAAACAGGTGTTGCTTTGAGATTTCAGCCAGCAGTAACTAAAATAAGTAGCAAATGTTTTTATGAAGAGCGTGCTTTCTTGTATATTGTTTTTATTTGCATAAGTTTCTTTTTTCCTGTTAACTGTATATTTTAAACCTGTTCAATATTGTAATTTCTATTTAGCCTTTGTCAAGAGAATACCATTACGGCAACAATTTTGGTTACATAGTGGCATTTAAGCCATTTGATGGGGAAGAATGGAAAAAAGTTACAGTTACTAATCCAGATATTGGTCGATACGTCCATAAAGATGAGACCATGCGCCCGTCCACTGCATTTCAAGTGAAAGTTAAGGCCTTCAACAACAAAGGTGATGGACCATACAGCCTTACAGCGGTCATTAATTCAGCGCAAGATGGTAAGTAAAAGAAAAACTTTTCTAACATGATGATGGGGGAAACCTAGTATCTGGTAGGCATTTAGTTTGCTTTCTTTCGGGTCTTGGTAAAACCTTTTTAAAATACTATGCATTTACTAAATGAGTATTATTTTGAGTGAAATTAAAACTTTTCAATCTTTTTCTCCATCTGAGTCACAAAAGTATCACTAAAATCTTGTTCAATTTTAGGTCATGTCCATGGTAGTCAGGAAATCTCCACTAAAATATTGGCTTGCTTAGATCCTAGCTCCTGGCCTGTCTATAACTTCGCAGTCAGAAATTCTCAGTGTGGGACCTCAATATGTCTGTGTATTCATTCAGTTTACTACAAATTCCGTAACATACTTTTTTTTTTTGTAAAATTGCTCTTTTGAACCCAAAATTTGTGTAATTATAGCATTTAAGCACATATTTTTCTTATTATTTAAAATAGAATGCTGGGATTTTATTAAAAACACTCTAGATATAAGTATATAAAAAAAGAAGTGGGAAAGCCAGTTGAAAATTTTTCTTGGAATGGGAAAAAAAAGCCCTTTAGGGAAAAAATAATACTAATCCTGGCTTGCTTTGCTTTTTCTAGAAATTTTAATTGAACTGATCATATCCACAGAGAACTGTATGCATCTGTGCTAAATACATATGATTTTAAATTAAACATAATTACAATTATTTCTATAATCCCCTATTTAAGCTGCTGTGCTTTTTATTATATATTCTTCTGTTAAAAAAGATAAGACCTACTTATATTTCGTTACCCATAAGGCAGTATGTAAATAATTAATGGCTAGAGATTTCTTTTCCTTTTTACCGGACACATTTGTCCTTGACAGTAAAATGATGTATTTCACTTAAAATTTTTGTAAGAAAACTTTTCAAATTCACCTGTCTACAAAGCTGCATAGGTTTTCCTAATGATAAAAATATTAATTAGGAAAGCAATAGAAAGCAACATAAAATTAAGTTTATTTCTTAATATAATATACTGTTCAGTGAGTTTTAAGAATGAATTTTGTTAATGTAGGATGCTTAAAAATTGTCTGTTTCTCTAATTTTTATATTTTAATCATAAACACTTTAGTGGCAAAGGTTAGCGTATTTATCTCCTTTTGACCTAGAAGATTCCTGTCTGTCATACTGTGCCATTAGAAGTCTTAAACGGAACGTAGGAAAAGGCATTCGTGGTCACTTGTTCACATGGTTACTGGAGCGTTAGAGGCAGTGGGCTCTGCAGTGTGAACTGTGGAATAATTGCTGCTGTTACTGCTTGCTCTTTATATGCCAAGTGCTATGCTAAGTACTTTATACATATTATCCTTAAGAGGGAGGCATTATTGTTCTTATACATAAGGAAACTGAGGTTTCAAAAGGTCATAAAGCTGCTAAGTGGAGGAGTGAGACTTAAATCCAGGACTTTCTAATTTCAAGCCATTACCCTTAACTACTATTATTCACTAGAAATGGAGTCAGGTGAATCAAAATGTATCTTGACTCAGGTCTTCTGAGCACATGACAACCACCTTAGTCTATACGGCTATGTGCTCTTTTGTATGACTGAGTGCTGAAAGCAGAAAAACTGAAGAGGGCATCTTCATTTCTCAGAAAACAGAATTTTATTGAAAACTTAACTTTAATAGTTAAACATATCTACAAAGCCTAGCATGCATCCTTAAGTTTGGACTGTTTCAATTATAATTTTTTTTTCATTTACTCATTCAGTGAATTAAACATCTAGAAGGAATAATATAGTTCTGACTCTGAGATCATGTTACTGTGTGTGTGCTCTTCAAATAGTCTCTTCGTCTCTTTTGGACCTCGTTGCTTTATCAGTATGAAAGGTGGACTGGACTATGATCTCTAGCTCTAAAATGTTCTTTTATGTTTCTGTTTTTACAAGGAGTAAGAGTGGAACACAGACTGTTTTGGTATGGGTTAAGGATTTCCAGGATTCAAAATCCTTCAATGCCTTCAATCATTCCTCCAGCAGAGGTCCATCTTTCAATTTCCATAGAGCAGAGCTGTTTAGCAGTGTATTGAATGCACCAATATGCTTTCACTGATGCAATAGCAATATCCCCAAATGATGAGACTTCAGTACATGAGAGAGAGTCTTTGTCCCCAAAGAAATTTCAGAAATTCCTACAGATCATAAAACCTGGGTTATATTTTACCACAAAACTGTATGGAAATCTAGAGTCTGCTGCATATGAGGTTACATAATGTTAGCCCAATTAAATATATAGAAAGAATAAAAAGTAGAAGGAAATTATTCAAATTTATAATCAAAGACTAGAAAAGCCCTGTATGAGAAATCCTGTACATTCTATGCCTATTAGCTCATTCAACATAATATGATAACTTGATTCAATTTGAATAATTTGAACAATATTGGATACATTACACAGAGAAAATGAACGTAAAAACCATTTTATAACTTATCTTCTCACCCAATATCGATTTTTCTTTTCTTGCTGTTTTGTTTGATGCTCAAGTAAGCTTTCAGGCAAAAGGACATGCTGCATCTATTTAGTCATGGCCATTTGTATTTAATTATATTTCTTCCCTAAATGCTTCATGAGTCTCAGTAAAACCTGTCTGTGCCAAAACTTGTATGAATGTTAATCATTCCTTCTACTGCTAAGAAATCAATCATATTGCCACCTGCTTACCTTGATTTGGAAAGGCAGCAGTGTTCATGTTTAGGACATTTTTAAACGTAAAGATAGGATGATGGTGTGTTAATGAAAGACAATAAAAAATGATCACCTCTGCTTAAAAATTTCCTTAGTTTCTTTGTGTAAATTTCATAAAGTAAATTATGTTTTCCATGAACAGAGGCCTTTTTGATACATATTTGACTTGATGCCCAGTTGGAAGATTAGACATATAAAAACTTTCCTGAGCCCAAGCAGAGGCAGATGTCACAACTTGTTTCAAAGAATCTGAAGAAAAAAAAGTAATGATCTTAGCTTCAACAAAAAAGAGACAATGTTCATTGATAATATTGCTGTGTATTGTTATTTCATGTAAATAGTAAGTAGCAGAAAATTAATTGTAATAAGCAATTTTCTATAATAAATGCCAAACTTCCTGTTTTGATAATATAGAGTTGATAAGCTACATATGTGGAATTTTAATTTGCATCAACAGGCTTTCTTAAGAAAATAATTTTGGAGAAATGAAAAAAGATTAGTACGGTGTTTGCTCACAGATACCATAGAAATTCATGAAGCTTTCCATATTTCCATATTCAAAGTGTTTGTGTGTGGGGGGGTGGGTGTGTAGTGTGAGTGTGAGTATAAATATGTGTGTATATATCTGTGTTAACATTCATGCATATGAATCTGGCTGTGCCTGCATCACTGATGATCATGAAAGCAAGAAACAGTAAAAATGGAGAAATAGATAATAAAATTATTGGACTTATTTTCTAGTTTGGAAATATTAAAATATAGTTCTAATTCATTCATACTGCAAATGGTGCTACTTGAATTTATTTATTTAAGTATTTTACTAAGAATATAATGTTTTCATCAAATTTCAGCTCCCAGTGAAGCCCCTACAGAAGTAGGCGTAAAAGTCTTATCATCTTCTGAGATATCTGTTCATTGGGAGCATGTTGTAGAAAAAGTAGTGGAAGGCTATCAGGTGGGTTCAATTTTTATCAAACTAAATACAATTATTCATAAATATATCACAAGTTTTGAAATAAGTTGCATGTTTTGATGTTCTGTGTCCCATTGATTTATGTGGCAACTAACACTATATTCTCTGTGTTTAATTTATTGGGCATTTATAAACTAATTGTTAACGACAAAACAGAGGTTCCTAACTGGCCTAGCTAGGATAGATATAAAAAGTCCTGCGTGCTGGCAAACAACTGGCCAAAATGAAAACAAAGTTAATAACACACATGATTTGCCAAGGTCTTTAAAGACAAGCATTCTTATAAAATGTTGGAGAAGCTCAAGCTTTTTGGAAGCCTTTTGGTAATTTATAACAACATCCTTAAAATGTTCATTCTAGTTGACTCAGTAGTTCTGCTTCTAGAAATCCCTCAAAAGGAAACAAGTATAAATATACAAAACATGTATCTCATAATATTATATATAAAAGCATAAAATTGCCAACTGTCAAAATGTCCCAAAGAAAACTTTCCCTGAGTTGATTCTTATAGGACCATTAGGAATTAGCTAGATAGAGAAAGGAGGGCTTGTCTTAGACAAAAGGAATAAGAGCTGGAAAATTGAAGCTAGAAAGATAATTGAAGTCTCTAATACAATGCTAAAGAATTTAAACTTGATTGTGTAGAAAAAGCAAAGCCACCTGATGTTTTTAAGCATGACTGACAAATTCAGAGGAATTGGCATCATTATCCTACCTTTACAGACGAGCAAATGGATGTCAAAGAGCTTCAATGACTTGCCTCATTTAGCACCGATAAAAAGTATCAGAGCAGTGTCTGAAACTTGGGTTTTCTGATGCCAAGTTTAGGGGGCTTTTTGCCAAATCACTGACTCTCTTTGTTTTAGACAGCTAGTGGACAGTAAATGCCCTTTTGGAGCCTTGGGCAGGGAGCAGTGCCACATACCTGGCTCTGCCCATGCAGCTGGCCTGCCCTGCCAATTCTTGTGCTTTCTCTTCTTCATCTGTCCATGAAATATTAGTCTCATGAAGCAGGCTATTAACTGTTTTGTTCTGTGCACAGAACTGTGGCAGACACATAGTAGGCACTAAGTAAATATGGTTAACTGCTGATAGAAATAATGAAGAATGATCAGATACAGTGTTACAGTCTGGCTTTGGCAAGACCATATTTCTATAACCACAAAAAGAACCCAAACTTTTAAGCAAACACCCGAACTAACAGTTAACTATTTCTGGCACCATAGGTTATGATTTGGGTAGATTTCAAAGTGTCCTTAGATAATCTTTGCAAAGGTTCAGTTGAAGTTATTACAATAAGAAAGGAATAAATAGGAATAAACTGTGGATACTCAACATGCATAACTTACTAAACTAACAATTACGTTTATAGCTAGAGGATAAATTATGAGAAAGAGAGAGAGATTCGCTTAATGTTTCAAACTCCTGTAATAAACAAGTCCAAAGTAACTTTGGGAGAAAACATCACTATTTGAAGCTTGGAAAGCCAAATTTTGGACCATAGGATTATTTTCTTCTTTTATATCATTTGTGTCTAAGTAATAAAAAAGAGGAAAAAAAAGATAATTTAGTACATAGCTCATCTCAATGAGTCAGAAATGCTAAGTATATATTTTACTTTATTAAAAACATGCCAGAGAGCCTCTTTGCTCACGCCAAGAATTATATATTGACTATTTTATAACTTCCAGCAAGTAGAGTACAAAGGAACTGCAGAAAAGGAAACAATATACTGGTACCAAATGAATTCAGACAACACCAGCATATAGGCTTTTCTGATTGTGAAGTAAGCCTCAATTAAGGATTCTCGATTAAATGGTCAGCAAAACAGCAATATTTAGTAAATACAATTTTCTCCAATGGCAATTTCAAGGGAAAAATGCCTTCTTATAAAGGACTCACAGATTTCTGACTTTTTGTGATTCTTTCCATTTTAAGTAGAAAGTTAAGAGCTTTGAAGCTGAGCAGATATGGGTTTATATTTCAACTCCGTCAGTTGGAATTATGAGGGCATTTTTTTTTTTAATTTTCTGAGCCTTAGTTTCCTCACCTGTAAATCTGCGAGAGTAACCACTGCCTCATAGAACTGTTGTAAGGAAGAAATGAAGTACCAGTAACCTGTGTTTAATGGCTTTCCCTGTTCTCTGTCATTGGGCATTTGAAGACAGTGATATTGATCATGATGATGATGGCCATGATAAAAATGATTATGATGATAGTAATGATAATAGCATTTCTTGAGCCTTAACTATGCTAAACATTTCATAATTTTATTCAATCTACACAGCCCTCAGGATAGACACTATTGATGTCCCCATTTTAAAGAGAAATTTAAGGTTTAGAAATGTTTGGTAATAATTAGCATAACTGGATTTGAACTTAGGTGTTGCCACTCCAGAGAATGGTTGATTGAAATTGCTAAAAGTAAATCACAGATATTTTTTCCATTCACCCTTTCTTAAACTCCTTGTAAGTCTTCCACATAGAGCCTTAAATATCAAAGAGAAAAGCATGAAAACTTAAAAGAGAAATTCATCGTATTTTATTCTCCCATAAGGGAATGCTCCTGCTAACATATGGCATGAAGAGTTTGACTATAATGTGGTAATTGTTTCTATTTTAAAATATGATGGGAGAAGCCAGTGGTTTAACACGATGGATGATTGAGAAAACCAATACCCCACCACACTTCCCATGAAAATGTACTATGGGTCTAAGTTATAGTGAAGCAGAAAGGAAAAAAAGCAACACATTAAAAAAAAAAAAAAAAAAAAAAACTTATGAAAATACCTCGCGAGAGAAGGGAGTGGTTGGCAAACAAACACAGAAGGTGTGTATTATTTGTTTAATGAGAAACTATTTGTTCTGTAAACCTTCATCTAAAAGTACAAAAAAAAAAAAAAAAAAAAAAGCTAGGGGGAGCCCTGAATCCTGTGTGCTTTACCCTATCTCAAGGTTAATTTCCTGACATTTCCAGTGAGAATTGTAGTCAACTGAGTTTAAACATAATCTTCTTCCTTTGTGGTTTTAAAGTGTATCTCAGTAGAATATTTAAGTTTTACTGGTTTTTTCCTGTTGCCTAGTTAAAAGATTCCACATTTCTAATCTTAATACCCATTTTTTTCTGCAATGTAGGTGAGCTAAAGGAATGCAAGAAATCCTTATCAAAGGCATTTTAGAACTTTGGACTCCTGCCCAAGAATTCACAAAAGACTTAGTTTGCCCACCCAGCGGGTAAACCATTGGCCTAATTAATTTAATGAAAACATGCAAAATATTCTACCAAAAATAATGAATGCAAGAACTCTTTGCAGCTGAATCAGAGATTAACATAGATGATTGATTGTGACAATTACCACAAAAGATTACCAGCCCTGAGTAGTCTACTCAGATGCTTTCAAAGGTTGTTATTATGATGAGCTTAAACTAGTATTTAGGAAATGCTTTGTTTTCTTATTTTGGAGAAGGCATTTGTCTTAGTCTGGATCACCAAAAGCAGAACCAGACCTAAAGCTGTGGGATAAGGTAGTTGTGTGTGTTTTAATATGATCCCAGGGGACAGGTAAGAGGAAAAGGTAGACTGAACAGGAAAGGGGGAAACTCAGATACAAAGATGCTTTATCTTCTTGGCAACCACTGTGGGCAACTGGTGCTCCATCCCTTGGGACCTGGGAGGAGCTTTATGAATTTGGCTCATAACAGCCCAATTGAGATGAAAAGGGAAGCATTTATCCATTCCTGTTCTCCTTGGATCAAGGGTGGCCTCATGGGCATCACCTCCCCTTCCACTTCTATCCCAGTGCTGAGGAAGTTTCACACTGAGGCATCAAAGAATATCCAGGACAGAGAGAGAGAGGTTAGCTGCACTGGAAGAGATGAAATGCTATCTAATTGTATCAGAGGGAAGCTAGTTAAAGCCTACATAGAACTTGGTCCCTGCAGCAGTGGCTGAAGTAAAAGAGAACTTTGACTAGTTCCCATAAGGTATAAAATACTGCATTTGAATGATTTACATTATTGCTATTAGTAGCCCATAGAATGTACTAATACTTGAATTAGTCTAGAATCTAAGTACTGTAATTTAGAATTATTATATAATATCTTTTAAAAGTGGAACTTCTTGCATGCCAGAGTTTCAAAAATAAAACAAAGAAAACAGGTTTTATCACCTGGGCCTGAAAAGGAGGACTATCACTTCTATATATTGGCCAGAAGTAAGTCATAAGGCTCCACCTAATTTCAGGGGAGCCAAGGAAATCTAACATAGCTGTGTGCCAGAAGCAAAACGGAATTTAGTTCACTAAACACAGAACTTTGTTGCAGTCACAGTCCAGTCGCAGTCCTCCAGTGAGAATGCTCCATGAGAGTAAGTAGACTTTGTTTCGGTTGTCACTCAATCCCTAGTACCTAGAACCTTTTGGTAAGCATTCTATGACCTAGTGTGACAGGTATTCAATTTGTGATGAGTGGATGAATTAATTAATTAATGAGTGAATCTCAGGGGACTCTGTTATTCTGGACAACACAGTTTGGGAAGCTAAGATATGGAGGTATCACGTGTAAAGATTAGAATACGATAGCACAGATAATTCAGATTAAGGCAGAGTTTTATAGACTGCTGCTTGCCTTATTTTGCCTACCCTGGGCCCCAGATTCCAGATGGTCATAGTCATAAGGTTTGTGTTCATTTGGTATCTTACTTGGAAGGATTCTTTAATTTAGAACACTATGAAAAGAACATTAAATGCGTTTAAGATGACCTTACCCATAGCCTGTTTTAACAGTTGTGTACCAGGTCTTGCACTGGATTCCTTATTACTAATTATACTTCTTAGGATGTGTTCATTTATGCTGGCCATTAAATGATGTTCCAATCAAGGAACCAAAATGTATCAGAATTTTCCTAGTTTTAAGCCATCAGGTTTTTTTTATTTTTTTATTTTATTGTACTTCAGGTGAAGGCTTACAGAACAAATAGTTTCTCATGAAACAGTAGTACAC